ACAGCTACTTGCATACTCTAAAAAAGTTTTGGCAGTAACACTGAATCTCTAAGCCTTTTGCCTTATATCTGCAAATCTCAAAAATTCCCTGTCCCATTTCAGATAAAACCAGCCAACATCATTAGAAGTTTCTTCACCCAGTGTCAGCAAAGGTTGCTCTTCCACAGCAGTCGCTCACAAAAGGCTCTTGGGAAGCATTGCAAGTGGTGTGATTCAGCCTCACTGGTGGTAAAAGCTAACACAGGATGACTTTGTAGGGAAGAGTACCCAAGGGGATCACGAAGCCTCTCCTGTGGCAAGTGGACATAGAAGTAAAAGGAAACTTCTTGAACATGCTCTCTAGGACGTACTCTGTTTCCTGTAAACTCAGTCTCGGTCTTGCACTCACACATACCCTTCCCCCGTGTTTACATTGCAAATGTGACTTTCAGCATCATTAAGCTTTTTCTTTTAGAAAACAAGAACATCAATCTCAAATTGTGTCAACAAAATATGCTCATTTGATTACTTCCCAACCTATCTAAAAATAATTAGGATATTATTATTACTATTACTCATGCCCGCAGTTTAAAGATATGAAGGTTAATAAAGCCATTTCATTCCCTGAGAACAAGCCTAGATTGATCTGTCTTTCTAGTTTATCACAATCTCCCAGCTGTAGGAGACAATCTACATTAAGAAATGGTGTCCCTATGAGTAATAGCGGTCTCGCAGGCCACAAACATACTAGTTAGATTTCACATTTTATCTGATAAACACATTTCAGTGTGTTGAATAACTGTGGAGGACAGGGAGAGTGTGCCACAACTGTACAACTTAAAAGTCCACTTCATTGATTTAATAACCAAGAGCCACTGCTACCTTCTGCCACTGCATAAAAGCAATTTGGAGAATGAGCCCAGGTTCTCAGCCTGAAAACAAGCACTGGGAAGAGCAGTAAACGCAGAGGAAAAAAGTCAGACTTTGACCCACCCAGCCTGGCACCACAGCCTTGGATCATCAAGCACCTAGGAGAAGCAAGCTCAGAGCTGCCAGCGATGGATTGACGCCCCCAGCCCTCCTTTGGGCCACAGTCACACAACATCCTGCAGGACTTTCACACCTAGCAATTCCCTGCATGAAAGCACAGGCATTATCTGCACTGGCATAAAGGTTTGATTCCAGTTTAGGACCCCAATAAGCATCACCTGTAACTGTATCTCACAGCAGCAAGTTCCAAAAATTGAATTACTAAAAAAAAAAAAAAAAGAAAAAAAAAAGAAAAAAGAGGCTGGAATTTAGGAGCTATGAAGTCATCACCACATCACATCACACTTGGTAAACTGAGTGCGGAATCTACCATTGTGTGAGTCAGCATTTATATATCTGAATGATTTCCCGTTGCCACCCAACACTCAGAAGGCACCTAAACTGTGTACCTTTACCCTCTGAAGCTCTTTAAAAATCTCCCTTTTTCCCAAGTCAGAGTATGTAACAGCTTCCACTCTACCAGCATGAGAGGCTCTGGCACTCACCTTCAACTCCTGAATCCACTTGCCTGATCTAAATGACTGCAAGAATCCAGTACTGGTCTCAAACCCTTTGACAGTACTTGTAAAATGCGATGAAGCTGCAGTATATGGATAAAAAAAAGCCGTAGAACAAAACTCAGTCCTGATTTCCATCAAGTCAGACAATGGGAGATAGATGCAAAATTAAACTAATAACACCTGCAGAGACCTGAGCAAACAGTCATTAGATGCACTCACCTCTACAGCCTCACTCTGCCATCCCATGAAAGCAGGACAACAAGGAATTACGACTATCTGTGACTGCACATCTGTCTTGCCTGCCAGTGATTCCCACAAGAGGCAATACATGGCTCCAAAAGAGATAAAAGCTGGATCCTAAAACATTTCAAGTTAACTATGCTGCACAAGGTAAAACCTGCTCTTTTACCTCCCATATGGACAGGAGTTAACACACAGCTCCAACATCCAAAAAACCCCATGCTAGAAACTGCTGGGCATATTTCAAATCCAAGTAATTCTCCATATGAAGACATATCTGTGATAGAACACCAAAATATCTCTGATAAAACAACAAAATACTCAAGTTTTCTTTAAACTTGCCAGCTTGTACATGGAAAGCTCAGAAACAAAAACCCAAAGCACTTGCCTGTGTTGGCAGGGATTACTGCAAGACAATCAGTGTAAACCAAAAGTATCAGACTGATTTTACACAGTTCAGTATTCTGGGAGAGAAAAAAAAATGTCTAGAGGGACAACACAACTCACCTGAAAAAGAAAACTTTCTGTTGCACAAACACATAGCCACTAAAGTGAGGATGTGACTCAAACCGAGATGCACTGGATTTAAACAACTCAATCTTCCCGCCTGGAAGCGAGAACACCTGATCATGATAAATTGCTTTCATAAATGCAGATCATCCTGCTCTTTCGTATCAAGTCTTCAGCATTTGTTTTCATTACAGTGAATAACTGCACCGATGGGATCACTTTACATTCAAGTGTTTGCATAAACCTGTTGCAAGTCAATGCGCACATTCCCCAGGAGATTCACCACCAAGGCAAAGTAATCCTTTCTCCCAGCTAACCATACAGACGGCCATCAGCTCAGGCTCCCCCATGAAATATTTACAAAGCTACAGCTGCCATCACTCTGGAAACGACACCCCTGTGCAAACAAGTCGAGGATTTACACTGAAGTCACCACTGAGGGTCATTACCTGCTCTGGTTACAGAAGAATGGAACCAGAAACATAGATGGCAGCTGGGCAGATCAACCACACAGGACAGGAACAAAGCGGCCAGTAATGGGAACTACAGCATTTAAAGCTCCAAAATTAATCCAAAAAGCTGCAATGTGACTAGGACAGGGCAGTTCAGTGACATCAGCCACAAAAAGGCTGATCTACAGTTTTAGAGCCTCCCGTCTCATCAGCTGACAACAGTTCATATCCAAAAGGGCCAGGATACGTCCAGTCCTCATCATCGTCTCACACAGACTTGCACCCTCCAGATTTCACCATTTGCAGAGGTAAGAGGGCAGCATTCAGCTGCCAGTGCGGAACAAATGTTTGCCATCTCCTCCAAGGAAAAGGCAGCAGCTCAGAAACTGCAGCTTGCAGATGAGTGCTCAGAAAGAAGCTGTCCCTCAGAGCAGGGGCTACTGCAATCAGAGCCACAAGGACCTGATCCACAGAGACATTTGCACTCCTGCAGCAAGTAATTTGTACATGCAACACACAGGCCTCTTGCCACTTATGCAGAGCAACGAGAAAGTTAAGGAGAAAGTAGTCAGTTTGAATCGTGCATCAGCCCAAGTGGCAGACAGCAATGAATTGTCACTGCCTGTGGATAAAACCATACCATGACAGCTTCAGCCACGCTTGCCACCAGAGCAATGAGCATGAGAAGCGAAGAGCGGGATGTATTTTATTGCTGTGTTCGCTTTTTATGCACGAGCTGGAACACAGTGTGGTTTTCCTTGTTTACACTACACTTGGATCATGGCATTGCCATATTTTGTCAGTCAGTGAAAACTCAAGGCCTAGTTTTTCACAGAACTACTGGATGACACCACCTCCCTTCTCCAGTTTAAATCAACTCACAGGGCACGTTGATACGGAAAAGGCAGTTCCCTTTTTTGCCAGTGACCTCTAGTGGTGAGCACACACAGGACAGCAGGTAGCTGAGCACTTCACAGCAGTGACAAAGACAGATCCTTTCTCCCTCAACAAAGCAAAGCCAAACGGTTCATGCATCCCTCTCTTGCAAGCTGCAGTGCACAGGCCCATACAATTTCAAGGAGAGAAGCTCTTACACAGCAACACAGCAGCCAGCCCAGCCCAGGTCAGCAGGGCTGCTCTGCTAAGTTTGTTATAAGGAACAGGAAGTATTTTACCTCCTTCCTCCTCCCTGAGGTGAGGAACAGAGCTCAACTTGCACCCCGCATCTCCTCTATGCGTGCAGCCCTCTGTGACTCACGGCCCAGCTTGCTGTGGCCCAGCAATGCCATCTCAGACTGCTGAGGACATTGTCAAGTTTCAGGAAAGCTGTGAGAGGTCCACACCACAGAAGTATGCAAGGTAAGGAGGGTGTAATTACAGATAGAGGTAGGTTTGTTGAGAGGGGGATGGATGGCAGCTCAAGGGTTTAATGAGAAAAGACACCATGGAAAGACTGCTAAGGGGAAAAAAACCAGTCAGCCGATGGCAATATAGTACAACACAGGGCCATCTTGGGACAACCTCTCCTCTCTCAACTGCTTGGCCAGCAAAGAGCATGGGGAGCACACTAAGGCTTAGCCTAGGAGTCATTTATATCCTCCTTTTTGTGTGCTAACCAAGTAAAGGAGTTCGGTATATCTTGTTTGCAGTCACTGAATGCAGAAAAAGAAGCACAAACAGAACTACGCAGAAGCAGAGATAGCAACATGTGAAATGAAGCAGGAACCACGGCTGCCTTTGACAGACTCAGCGCAGGTCAGAGCAAGCACACTGCCTTGCTCTGCGAGCACAGCACCTCATCTCAGGGCAGAAGCAAGGAAGACACAGCAGCACTTGCAGCAGTTACCACTCAACCTGCAGCTTTGCTCCCTCCCCATGACGATGCACCAGCACCACACATGCCTGCATTTCAGGTGATGTACCCACAGGTAGAGTAACAGGATTTTTGTTTGGATGCTGGACTGTGAGTCACAGTGGCAGAGAAGGACATTCAGATCTGAACATTAGCTGTGCAAGTAATTTCCTTCAGGCTGAAAATAACAGGTTACCACTGCAGCATTTGCTTGGTGACCAAGTCACAGTTACCCAGTAACTATATCCAACACGCCTCCAAGTACTTCCTTTTCTCAGAAAGGTTCTCTAATAGCTCATATTTTACTTTCCCTCCAACTAGACCCTACAGAGTCAAATTGAGCAGGCAATATTTTAATCAGTTCAACTGATCAGTGACAAAGACCTGACAGTTCTATACTCACTCTAACAGCAGTACCTTTGCTTTCTTCATGTGGCTCATGATATTGCCAAGATCTTCAACATCGATGACAGAATTTGTGCCTCCAACTTCCTTAGCATCAGCTTCCTCCTCACTACTGGTTTCAAACAACTCCTCTGCCTGTGTAAGGGATCAGAGAAAAAATAAAATCAGGAACGTATCAGAATGTCAAACAAGCTCTTCATCTATGCTATCAGGTCCCATAATCAGTAAAGACTACTGAAAAACAAGGAATAGCCCACCGATAACCTGTATCATACATATAAGATGCATTAATACTTGGGGCTTTTACCTGTGTGTATTTTTTAAGAGCTCAGCGGCACACAGACCACCTGAAACGCAGTCCAGATATCCCGCCTCCAGATTGCTCTATTTCCATCATGTGCCTATCCGATCACATAAGTGATACAGAGGAGCCCACCTCCCACTGCATGCTCTGATGATCTGGAAGCCTAAACTCCTTTAGCTCCTCCAAGTGCCCCTGTCCAAATGAACAAGGAGTGACAGATCTGTCTAAGTATCAAGTCACCAAGTCAAACTCTTCACAGAGCAGAAAAGTCACCTCCCTTTCTGTAACACAGCCAAGGTAGAGCACAACAGCAGTGGTGTAACACCAAGATTTATTTCTCTTGTTCCTGCAGCAACCAGCACTTCCAACCCCACTCAGAAGAGCCCCTGTTTTCCTACAAAATTCAACATGGCCATAGCAATCACTTCAAATCTACAATAAATGGCTTGCAGGGAGGATTAAAGAGCCATAGCAGCCCCGGGTCTTGCACTGTAGAGCAAGCAAGAGGATTCCTTATTCAAAACCTGTAATCAAACACTCCAGAAGACACACAAGTGAACACAAGCAGACACACTGAGAGGAAATACATGACTTGCTCCCCATAACACTCCCCAAGCTGCCTTTGTAAAAACCTTGGGATGCAGACACAACACCCGAGCTTCAGCAAGTTGAAGTGGAATCAGGTAAACTGCTCGCAGGAAACTGAATGCTTCACTTGGCCATGAGACAAAGCAAAGACTCTGATGAGAACCCAAACTGGCTCCCTGGAACATCTGTCAGAACATATACCTCCTCCTGCTCAAGAGGGATACTCCATCATATAAATGCTATCTAGCAGCCTAGGTCCATCACTAGTTCTTTGGTCCTTCCTTTTGGATGGCTTCTTCAACCTGTTATCCACCATAGGATCTCATCCCTCTTCCCCCTCTGCTCCACGAAAAAGTAGTATTGAGTTCCACAGCACCCCCCTAGGCTGTAGGAAGGAGACGAGCCAAAGAGTGCTCCAACGGGCACTACATCACAAATAAGGTCCCATGGATTTTGTCTCTACCTCAGTATTCTCATACTCTGATGTCTTGTGTTCATGATCTGTGCCCTCCTTCCTCTGCTTCCCTGGGGATTTGCACTTCCCTTTCTTGCACTTCCCATTGCAGGGCTTCTTCTCCCCTCTGCAGAGTGCCTGGAGCCGACTGAGAAACTTGGCTTTCCAGGCTTCGAAGTCAGCCTCAACGCTGCCATGCCTGCTCTGGGAGACATTGCAGTCTCCCTCAGCACGAGTCATGACACGGCTGGCACTGAGCATCCACAGCCATCTGTCAATATTTCTTCCAACCTAGAATAAGATGGAAGAGGTAAATTAAATGAAGCCCAAGTTAAACGAAGCAGGCAATTAAGAAAGGAAGGACCAAGCCCGGAAACAGAGCTGGTGAGCTGCACAGGACCACAAGTCAGGGACTTCTGGACTCCCTCTCACCTGCTGACTCAGAACAGGACCATAGAGCAGCCACCACACACCCTCAGCTCCCATCTGAAAATACCTCTGCTCTCACACCGATTAGGTAAGAGATGAGCTCTGGGAACAAGATTCTTGGTTCCTGTGGACATTTTGACCCACAAGCAGCACACAGTACTTCACATGGCCCCAGCTGTACAGATAGAACAGCTCAGCAACAAGTCATACGTCATCTTTCTGAGTGAAATGAAACTAATTACCAGGCTAAGATATTGTCATGTTTTACATCAGGAAATAAAGCCAAAATCCACACAATACAGCAAAGTACATAACAGAGAGAAAAGCACTCTAAAAGGCAGCAAGTGAGAGGATTTGCAGTACTGTGTCATGGACAGCAAGCTTTCAAAGCTGTACGATTACTCAAAAAGGATTTATCAAACATATTACCATGCCTCGCAGATTAATGCGGTGCTTATGGGGCTCCTTTCCCATTTAAAATTGTAGCATAATTGCTTCAGAGCTGCATTGCCTGTGCCCTAAACCCAGTCCCAGTCCTTAAGTCCACACAACGGCTCCAATTCTCACACAAATACCAATACTGTTCAGTTCTGTGGTATTTAAAGCTTAGCCTTTCAGAAGGGCAGAAATCAAAGAAGGGTGTGACCTCCCTGTGTGACCCAGTCTAGGTTATCTGGCAGGGGGGTTGGACTGGATGATCCTTCCAACTCCTAATATTCTGTGGTCCTGTGAGGGTGCACAGGAGATACTTACTGTGTTGTAATGATCAACATACACCGAGTTTCCCAAGCCAAACACAGCATATCTCAGGCCTTTCAGATAAGTTTTCCCAAAGCGGAAATCATTTGCTGCGTCTTCTAACCACCTGCAGAACCACACTGCACTCTCGGTTGGCTGTCCATCTGTGTACGTAGCTACCAAGAACACACAGATGTTCCTGCTGGTCGTCTAATAACACAAAGGGAATAGAACAGATCACTTTACAGCAGGAAGAGAGCCAACATGGACAGCTGGAAGAAGTTGAAAAATAAGATCTTTGGTAAGTGGGTTAAGCCTCTTTGGTGTAGGATGCTGCAGGTAATAATCCCAGCAGTGGTAAACTGCCATCCTCCCTGCAAAGCCATCTTAAATTAGCCAAGGGACATCAAGCTGTCTCCTCCCTACCTAACAGGGAGACAGTGGTAAAACAAAAGTGTACACTTACCTTCCCTACCCCAATCAGCAGCTTCTTGAACAGACAGTACGGCAATAAAGTCTCCCATGGATTCAAAAAACAACTACCAATATTCACGGAAGAAAAATCCCTCACCAATTACTCAATATAAAAACACCTCCCAAAAAGTTCTAACTTACAAGTCTTTGAAAGGCTGCAGAAGTTTCACCATCTACTTGCTCTGGTTTTGAGCCCCTCCCCAAGTGTACGCTGTCAAGAGACAGAACAGGGGCACCTGGTGCAGCCACTGCCACATAACTCGCACCCGAACCAGTTCACATAAGAACCACTGTCCCTAGCCAAATACTCTACTAGGAAAGGATCTTGTCATGTTTAAAATTCGTGTGTTTTTTGCTGAGAGATGATGGGCTACATCCACCTCCATGGAAAGGAAGCGATTTTCAACATACACTGCTGGGGATTTCCAGGACAACAAGAGAGAAATACAAGAGGAAAAGAGTCTTCACAATCCCAGGAAAAGCAAAAACAAAACCCAAAGCACCCCAACACCACCACTTCTTATTCATATTTATGAGGTCCCTACCTCCTCCACTAAACAGTCATCCGGATCATAGTCTCCCATGCTGATGGCCTCCACAGGCAAGTCAAGGGAAATAACTGCTTCTGCCAGACTTTTGGCAAATCTCTAAAGAGAAACATAGAAAGTTATCAATTACTTGGATCCAACCACAGTAAGGGTCAAGCAAGCCCTGCTATAGCCAATGATCACAGAATGAGTGGTAACACATGAAAATTGGACACTGGACCTGAAATTCCACACTTCAAAAAGTGAAATACACTGGCTGAAAGAAGAGAGCTCCATGAATTTTAATGATTAAAGATTTAAAGATGCACACACACACAAATTAGATTTCTTTCTGAGAAAGAATGTACCTAAACCAGCAGCTCCCTCTAACTAGACCTGCTAGCAAATTAAAAGCATAATAAGAATAAATGTAAGAAGAAATTTTAAGCTTCATAATCAATGCCTCTTCTGTATGTCCTACTTAAAATAGCAATTATTCTACTCACTTCATATAATTTTCACTTACCGTTTATATTGGGCAGCGACTTCCAATGAACATTGTAATGAATTTTCAGATGTTTACAGTGCAGTGTAACAATATTTCAAATCAACTTCAAGCATGTTAAAAAAACAGAAGTCACTTATACCTTTGCTGTGCCAGTCTGGGACCCATAGAAAATCTTTACCCCAGCAACATAGACCTCCTTTGCCTGCAGGGTGGCGTATCCATTTACTAGTTTGTTTTCTGTTCTTTCAGAAGCAGCTGGATTCCTATTGGGTTTTTCACCCTAAGAAACAAGTGCTGTGTTTCAATGAATCCCCTTTTCAAAGTGGTATTTATCCCATTTTCCCCAAAAACCTTTAAAACACAAATCCCGTGACCAGACTCTCAGCACTACACAAATGCAACAAAGCATTTTAGTTTCTCACACAGAGAAACACCTGGGTAATTATTCCTCTGAACTAGACAAAGTTACAGTAAGCTCATGTCACCCATGGGGGAGAAAACGGGACCCAGCTGAACCTGAGAACCTCCCAACTCACACAGCAGAGCTTCACTCACCTGCACAAGGAGCTTTTAACTTCCTGACTGGGCTAATCCCTCTCCCATCCTAAAACCAACATTGTCATTAACATCACAGGAAACATGAACGTGAAAACACAATGTGTGAGCAGAGGGATTTACTGGAAGGAAAAGGGCAGCCCAGGCTGGCGCATTCTGTCAGTAACAACGGGAGAAGCATTCAGCTGAGATCTGCTCTAGCATCAGGGCAACAAGAACGCTTCGTTACCCACACACGAGACCACCCAGACTTAGGATTACAACCATGAGAAGAACTGAACGACATTTGGGATTCACAGCAACCTAGGTTGCCAGATGTCAGCTCTGAAATGAGGTAGCACATTTCATAGCAGTGGTGGGCACCTTTACTCAGCAACTCAGCAACTTCCAGACACCAACTGTGGGGCCTTCTCAGCTTACATGCTCAGTTACCTTCTTTCTGGTAGTGAAGAACTGATTGATGATCCAAATGCTGATCCCGAGAGCAACAACAGAATAGATGTAAAATCTGTGCAGCCATAAGGACAGCAGACAAGTATAGGAGAAGTTCCACGTATCCATTGAGACATCTAAATCTAGATTAAATCAGAGACTTAGCATAAGCAGATTCCTACGGCATGAATTTAAGGTAAGCACCCAAAAATAATCATACAGGACCCACAGTCTCATGCCATTAACTATTCTCAGGCTCTGCAGAAAACAGCTTTGGGCTAAAGACAAGAAAATACAACTGAATCAAGGAGCCTTCACCTCTTCAAAGGTGTGTAAGCCAAGCTTCATCTGTGCATCCAAACTAACATTTTAGACTGTCATACAGAAACTTGGGTTCTGTTATAATAAAAGGCAGAAGATACTTGTACTGTGCAAGTGTCTGAAAGTAAAAAGTCCTTGGGAATCACTCACTGTATCACACTGGCCTTAGTTTTGCACAAACCCAATATGTGCAGGTTTTCAGAGCTAAAGAAATCCATTTCAAGGGGAAAAATCATCTCCACAGAGCTTGCTGCTGAACACAGCCCTTGCCTGTGCACAGCAGACACCACCCTGAGTTTCAAGGCCAGACTGAAACCCGGATTCAGCTGAATGCGCTTCACTAGAACTCTGTCATGGGGGTGAGGTTTGGTTCAGAACAACTGACACTTCCCACGCTCATTCAGAACGCCCGTGGCACCTCACGCTGTAGGCAGGAGTGCGCTCGCACAATGCCTGGCATGACCCATCTCATCCAAAACATCCAGGAGCTGAACCAAGGCTCACGTGTGACACTGCCCAAAACTCCTGCTCTTATCTGCAGGCCACTTTGATCTTGTTTTTTCAGACAAGAGCACAGAAACTGAGGATCTGTAAGAGGCTGCGAACTTTAATAGAACTTCTGTTATAGTACTTCTCCCCTGGGCTGTTACTTACAGTACCAGACGAAAAGCTTGAGGGGGTCCCCTCACCCTTCCACCAATGAGTCTCCCCAAAAGACCTGAGAGTCCCTGCCACTGTGTCCACAGCTCCAGTGCTGGTGGTCCACACGAGCAGCAAATCCCTCAAGGGGGGGCTCCAGAAACCTCTGCGGTGGCCCACATACAGCACCCACCTCACCCCCTGAGCCATCTTCCCCACCCCACAAGTACCCTACAGCACCCACCCC